AAAAAAATCCACCTTCCACCCAATTGGTATTGGTGGGTCCTGGTGAAAGAGGCCAGTTTGCCCTTTTTTAGGCATGAATCCTTGGTCCAAGCCATTTCACCTCTCTGAGCCTCAGTTTCCTTACCCGTAAAATGGGACACCAATGCCTACTGCTGGCAAGCTGGCTATGGTGACTAACCAAGGCTACAGACTGTGTATGCGCACAGGTATACAGCAAAACACACACACAAAACGCAACAGGAGGATCAACCCCCACATCAGGATGGGGAGGGAGGGAAGAGAATGGGACTGGGGAGGGGTACACACAGACATTGGAAAATCTACAACAATAAATCTCTTAACAGAAAAAAATCAAACAATATAGCAAATCGTTATAGGTAGGTGGTTGGTGACTATATAAGTAGCTCTTTTCCTGCTCTAAGCCTTTTTGGGGTATTAGGATTAGTTCATAACTCTAATTGCAACTCTAAATTAAAACAAAGCTTAAAGAAAGCAATAGCTCAGAACATGTCTGTGCTTGGCATTTAGTAGGCCCTTGTCTCAGTTATATCTTGCCGTGTAACAAAACACCCCAAACTGCAGTGGCTTAAAACAATCATTTTCTATTTTCTCCCAATTCTGTGGTTTTCCTGGGCTTGGCAAGGTGGTTCTTGGGTAACTCATGACACCATCTGGGGCTGCTGCCACCTGATGGGGACTTGCCTGGGATGAACGTCCCACCTGACTCACATACAAGGCAGGTGGGCGGGGCTGGGTGCCCGCTGGGAGCTCTCAGTGGGGGCTCTCTCCGTGGCCTGGGCACGTCTCAGCACGTGGTTAGATTCCAAGATGGAGCCTTCCTGAGAGCAAGTGTTCTAGGATGAAGGAAGCAGAGCCACCAGGGCTTAAGGCGTAGTTACCTCTGTTGTATTGTGTTGGTTACAAAGTCACAGGGCCACGGGTTCAAGGACAGGGAAATAGGCCTTGGCTGCCAATGGGGTGAAGCATGAAGAATTTGCAGCCGTCTTTAACCTACCACTGTGCTCAACTCAGTAAATGATTGTTGAATATGGAACTGAATTTCAGAGACTTGCCTCAAGTAGGGAATTTACCTGCCGGTAGGGCTTGGGGAGATGTGAGTGGAGAGATCTTGTCCCTCTTAGCCCTGTCCCTCTGTGGCACCTTGCACGGCCCCTCTGGGCCTGAATACCTCCAAAGGCGCATGTGATTGGTTTGTGCTTCCAGAGCCATACAGGAAGGTCCACCCAAGGTCTGTCAGGAGGCCAGTGTACTGGGACCCTAACTATCCCCCCTCCCCCTAATTCCATGCCTGGGGCTCCCAAGCACTCTGTTCACGGCCATCCTGAGCCAGGATGATCTTCAGTCAGCACTTGGATCCCATGGAGCCTCAGGCCTGCCCTCCTGTCCTTGCAGGCTCATAACATGTCTGGGGGCAACCACACCTGCTGGCCAGTGTTGTCTCAGCCCCACCTGCCTTTTCTTCCTCTTGTCCCCTCTCTGTGGCTCCAGTAGAGCCACCATCCCTCTCATCATCTGACAAGGGGCACCAGTGAGTGAAGCCACAAAGACAGACCAGCCTCTCCCGCTTTGGGGCACAGCAGCCTCACAGAGACGCTCTCTCTCCTGTTACAGCTCCCCGGGCAGCTCCGCTGGCTTGGCATTTTGGCAGACGGCTTCCTTTGGGAATGAGCTGTGACACCTGCTCCTTTACTAGGAATGTGTTGGGTCCCCTGCTTCCCGGAAACCTTCTGAGGACTCGCAGTTCTTTCTTTGCTCGCTCTTTCAAACCCCATTCATTCTGTAAGGAAGGATGACGTACCTGCCTGCCCGCGCTGGGCTCCGGGCCGCACATGAGATAATGGCCAGCAGCAGACCTGGTCCCTGCCTTCCAGGGCTCATTCGTTAGTGGAGAGACAGCCCTGCAGCAGTCACATCGATGAACCCACAACAGTCTGCAGTGCGCTGGGTAGGGTTCCAGACTGGCAGAGACACTGCTCAGAGCTATGACAGAGTTAACTGGGCAAAAGTGGGGGGAAGGAAGGATATTTCAGAAGAGGGAGCTGGCCTACAACTCTAATCCTTGGTGCCCTCCTGGGGCTGCACCCTGAACCCAGCACCCCTATAGCAAGCCCTTCCTTCTAATAGCCACACTTTCCCGCTCTTCCCTCAGGGATGTCCTTTAAGGCCACATTCTCAAAGAATCTCTCCTTGTCTGCCTAGTCTACAGTGTTAGCTCCCACCCCCCATGGCCTCCTACTCTGTAATTTTTCCTCCTCTGGACTCAGGTCTAATGTCCATGCAGGGCAAGGGGTTTTAATGGCTCATTCAGTTGCTGTATTCTCAGTGCCTAGAACTCTGCCTGGCACATGGTAGGCAGCCAGTCGACATTGGAACTCTTGTTGAGTCATGCACAGGAAGTTGCTCTCCAAACCGTTCATCCCTGAGTGGAGAGGAGGGGCAGAATTGCACTAATCACTTGGCTCCTACTTCTGCAGACCAAGGGGTCTTGGGCTGAGAAGGGAGGGCTTTGGGGGACAGGTGTCAGGGGCCTAACTCCTCCTCCTCCTCCTCCTCCTCCTCCTCCTCCTTCTTCTCTCTCTCTCTCTCTTACACAAAACCCTTTATATTTCATAAAATTTCAAACACATATACAAATATAGTATAACTAGAGGCCTGGTACATGAAATTCATGCATGGGGAGGTGTCCCTCAGCCCAGCCTGCACCCTCTCCAATCTGGGGCTGCTGGCTCTTAACCACTCGGCTGCCTGCCTGATTGACGCCTAACTGCTTCCCTGCCAGCATGATTGTCCCCAACTGCCCTCCCCTGTGGAGCTGAGGGGACTGGAGGACTTCAGCTGGGTGAGGCGGGGCTGAGAGACTGGAGGACTGAGGCTGGATGAGGCTGGATGCTGTGGGGACTGGGTGAGGTAGGGCTGAGGGGACTGGGATTCCAGCTGGACGGAATTCCAGCGAGTCTGAAGGGACTGGGAGACTGAGGCTGGATGAGGCTGGGCTGAAGGAACTGGGGGACTCTGTGGCACCTGCTCCTTTACTTGGAATGTATCAGGTCCCCTGTTTCCCGGAAACCTGAGGACTTGCAGTTCCTTGTTCACTCATTCAAACCTCATTAGTCAACAGAGCCAAATATCAACAGGACAACGATTGAAATTTCTTTGGAGAGCCAAATTTTTTAAACTGAAACTTCTTCTAACGCCACTTCTTCAAAATAGATTCGCCTAAACCATGGTATTTTGTGGAAGAGCCACACCCAAGGGGCTAAAGAGCCACATGTGGCTCTCGAGCAGCAGTTTTCCGACCACGGAACTAGGGCAAACTGGATTCTTCCCATTTCTATGTCAATCCCATACAGTTGACCAATGGAATTCTCCTGGGCCTACTCTCATTAGTGGCCCCTCCCCTCCCCATCACCCTGTGTCCTCCAACCGGTTAGGGTTGGGCTAACTCCCCACTCCCCACCCCCACCCCAAGACAGGTGGCTCTTCTCTTGTCTTGAACAGGAGAGCCCAGGAGCAGTCAAAATGCACCACTAACAACCAGGGCCCCAAGGCCCCTCCTGGTATGTCCACTGTGGTACCCGTTGGGTGGCCAGGGCAGAGCAGATACAAGTGTTTGTAGAAATGCATGAATCCCCATTTCTTCTTGTGGAAACCAGGGTCCAGGGACAGGCCGATCTCACAACCAGCACCCAGCATTCAGCCTGCTCACAGCTTCTCAGAAAACATCCTCCTCCACCTTCCGGAACAAGAATGTGAGCGGTTGTGCCCACTATTTGGGCTTCCCCGCCCCTTTGCTGCCATCATTAGAGGAGACAAAAGGACACAGGCCCCTTGTGTCCTAACATCAGCCCCTAACCTTGCCCCCTTCTGTCCTGCGTGGGGAGGACATTTCCTGCTGGTCACTCTGGACTTAATAGGGTCCAGGGAGCCAAGATATTGAAACATCTTTAGGAATGACTCAAGGGGAGAACACACAGCTCAGATGCCAACTCCACTTCTGCAACTCGTTTCTTTTCTGCATTCACCAAAGAAGTGTCGCTGTCCTGCTCTGTGACTCAATCTCCCTTCTGACCCTCCAGTCCAGAAGGACACAGAGCCTGCGGTGTGGGAACTGGCAGGAAGAACAGTGGCAGGGGACCTCTTTTGTTCCTCCTGGCAAGCTGGGTGTGTGCCTGCAGAGGCCGCCTCATGGAGGGAGCCTCCTAAGAAAAACCCATATGGATGAAAGCGGCCTGGGAATTGCTCCCAGCTGGGACTCACCAAAACCCCGGAGCCCGCTGAGCGGCAGGGAGGCAACTCCTGACATCCCCTCTTGGGCCCGCGCCCAGAAGTGGGGTGCAAAGCACGTGCAGCATCGAGCCAATGGGCCAGACCCTAACGGGGGGGGGGGGGGGGGGGGAGAGAGACACCCTCCCTTTGATCACTGGAGCCATCTGAAGCCCCACAGCTCCAGCGCCAAGATAGAGGTGGGAGGGGGAGCACACTGCTTATGTGACCCCAGGGCGCAGCGCAGGGGTGTGGGGAGATGGGGAGCCCCCCACTTCTCCTCTTCCCTCTCCGCAGCCAGGCGGTGGGGCCCCCTCAGGCACGACCACCGGTAGGGTGGAAGGTAGCACCCTTTTCACCACCCCGGACTGGGGTGCCCAGCAGACCAGAGCAGGGGAGGGGCGCGCTGTGAGGAGCCCCCTAGCACCGCCGCCCAAGCTCTCCCTGGCTTCCCTTCGGGTAGGGCCAGGGGAAACTGAGGCGGGCCAGGGAGTCCGGGATGCCAGAGGCGCGGGCGGGGCGTCCCAGGCTCTCCTCTCCCCCGGGGGCAGGAGCGGGGGAGGCGGGCGGGTCCTGCTCCGCCCCGCGCCGCCCCAGCTCCGGGCCAGTGCGATCCGGCGCCCGCGGGCAGGGCGGGGCTGCAGGCGGCGCCGCCCCGAGGGGCCGGCCGGGGCGGAACGGCCCCCCGGCGCCCTCCCCGGCCCGGGCCATGACCCCCGCGGCTCTCTCCTGCAGGCTCGCTGCCGCGACCACCCGAGTCCGGAGGGGCCCCGCGCGCCCCGCGTGCGGCTCCGCAGTGAGCCCCCCGACAAGCGGTAAGCGCCCCGCCGTGCGCGCCCCGGGTCCGGCCCGCGCTGCCCCCCTCCCCCGCCCCCTTCCACCCTCCACTGCTCTTCCCGGTGCCCCAACCCCGTGGGGCGGCGTACACGCCCCGCAAGCTGGGGGTGGGGGTGGGGTGGGGCGCCCCGGGAAGGGTGGGGGCGCCCCTCGTGGGTCCCGGAGTCCCCCTAACTTCTAGCAGACTTTCCCGCGGAGGAGCGGTTTGGGGGAAAGTTGGGCCCCCTCTGGCCGTGTTGCAACTCACAGCAGCCGGAGGCGGGGGTGTGTCCCTGCGCGCGGAGCCTCCGGCCCCCGCTCCTCACCTGACCCTCCGCGCCGTCACGAGCTCCTGGGGAAGGGACCAGGCCGCCGTCCTTCCCCAAAGCTGGAGAGGAGCCCGGCCGGGGTGGGGGCGGGAGGCCTCGAGAGGAACCATTTCCCCTCTATCGAGTATTTCAAACTGTATTATTTATGAGCCGCCTCACTTAGGGGCCCCCCTCGCTTCCAGGGCTTCAAAGCGGGTTGCAACCGCAAAGGGCGACCGGTGCGAACGCCCCAGCAGCGACTTCGGGCCCACGGAGCCCAGCGGACCTGGGGGAGGCGCTCTTGACAAGGGGGGACCCACCGCTCTGCTCGCTGGCGCTGGGGCAGTGAGTGGGGACTTCTCTCAGGCTGCCCCTGCCTGGCTGTTAGGCCTGGTGGAATGGAGAGAGAAGTCTGAGCAGCCCTGCGTCACTGAGAAAGGAGTCGGAAGGCAGCTCTGGGGCGGGGGCTGGGGGTGGGCAGGCAGGGTGGTTTTTTCCTAAAGGGGGCATACTCTTATGGCAGCCTTGGTGTGGAATCACTCACTCTGTCCTGGATGTAGGTTATTCAACAAACGCAGATTGGTACCCCCGTCATCCTCCCTCCCACCCCCACCCCAAGGCAATTAGGAGATAGCAGCCTTGGTGGGAAACACCCCATCTCACAGGGAGGCACACCTTCCCAGCCCGGCTCCCAGGAGTGCCTGGGGGACCCTGTGTGCAGCTGGATTAACTCAAGGAAACACCCCCTTACCTGTCCAGGCCACACCCACCTTGGATTCCGTGTCCCTACCCCTGGATACTGTTTCTTCTGGATGGGAGGGAGGCAGTGTATTTATGGAAAGACGTAATCCCTCTGCCAGCTCCAAGGAGGCTGAAAGCTCTGATGCCTAATCTCTGCTCCCTGGAAACCCTTCTCTTGCTGGTGGGGGTCCTTGAGCCCCCCGTGTAGATCAACACTGGAGACTTGACATGGGGACTCCCCTACGTGGACAATAGAACACTGGTATCTATTGGTTATTGAGAACCTGCCGTGTCCCGGGCCTTGCACTGAGTGCTGGTGCCATCACCTGCGTGCTCTCTGTTCACCCTCTGACCAAATAGTTGTATTCCCATTTTACAGAGGAGGACACTGAGGCTGGTAAGGGTAAAATGGCCTAAGGTCACGGGTGGGTAAGTGGCAAGCCCAGGCCTTGAACCCCTAGACCTCACATTGATTTGCTCTTGAATAATAGCAGAGGCCAGGCCAGGCCTCTGAGACCACCAGTATACCCCCCACACCCCCATTAAAAGGTCGAGGTTAGTAGAATATACATGCAGTAATAGGTACACATCAGACGTGTACATCCAGATCAAGAGACAGAATTTCCCCAGGAACCGCCTCTTGCCCCTGGCAGCCCCATCTCCCCTTGGAGCCAGTGGGCGGCTCTGTGTCTCCCACAGGCAGTGCCACATCGTAGTTACTTTTTATTTGGTGCAAAGAACACATTAGTTTACTTTAATCTTTGCACTGAAAACCCCCACGGGGAGTGAGCTGGCAAGCACTCAGGGCCCGTGGGCTGTGTGACTTCTGTCTTCAAGGCTGCTATAAAAACAATTACATGCTTTTAAATGAGCCCGGTGGTTAATTAATCATTAACCTGGCTTCTAATAACGTACTCCTGATTTTTAAATGAACATTTCTATTGGCATAGAACGCGGAAAGGTGCACAAATCACCAGCATTGAGCTTGGCCATGTGGAGGCTTACAGGAGCAGTGGGCAAGCACTTTGCTCCAAGTTACTTGGCCAATCGGTGGGAGGCCCAGGCGGGACCCCAGCTGGCCCACGACCCTGCCTGAAGTAACTGAGTGTTTCAGGGGGCACCCTGCCCCTACCCTTACCCCCATCCTTTCTCACTTCCTGTTGGTGAGTCCCTGTGGGCATGCAGCCGCCCAGCCTCCCCAAGAGGAGCTCACCGCCTCCTGCAGGTCCGTCCATGGGCTGAAGCCAGGAAGATGCTCATGTTTGCTCTCTGTGTACCAGGATGGAAGGCATGTTAACGCTTGTAGCATCTGTTCCCAGCGCAGTCCCTTTGGCTGGAATTACAGGAATTCTAATCCTGTGGCAAAAAAGAGAATGCCTTTTCTAAAGAAGGAAGGGCACCAAGAAGTGCCATGTGCCTCCTTGGGCGCCGGGCCCGGCCCGTTAGTGCCTCCTTCCTCGTGTTTGCCGTGAATGCTCGGAGAGCTTGCTCAGAGCCTCCCAGCCGGGAGTGGAACCTGGTTCCATCCTGTCTGGTGGGTCCACCCATCGAGGCAAACACTCACATTCCTCAGCTGTGATTCTTCACCCCTGCCCTTGGTCCTCCAGCGAGGTCTTTGTTGAGGAGGTAAGGTGAGGCACCCTGGTGAGTCATGACCTCCAAAGGGGTATTCTGATTTCATCTGGGAGGTGGCTGTGCAGAGACCAAGAAAGGTCAGGCTTCTAGCCCGGCCCAGCCTTTCACTCACTTTCTCTCTCCTGCCCTCCATGGCCTCATCTGAGAAACCGAAGTATTAGCAATAAGGCAGACTCTGAATACAGTTGCCAGATTTAGCAAATAAAAATATAAGGTGTGCGCCCTGGTTGGAGTGGCTCAGTTGGTGGGAGTGTCATCCCATTCACTGGAGGGTCACTGGTTCAATTCCTGGACAGGGCACATATCCAGGTTGCAGGTTCAATCCCTAGTGGGGGGCACCTATCTAGGTTTCAAGTTCAATCTCCGGGCAGAGTGTATCCTGAAGGCAACTGATTGATGCTTCTCTCTTTCCCTTCCTCTCTCTAAAATCAATTTTTTAAAAATAGAAAAAACATATCCTCAAGTGAAGATTTAAAAAATTTTTTAAAAAATGCAAGATGGTCACGCTGGCTGGTGTTGCTCAGTGGTTAGAGTGTCTTCTGCATACCAGAGAGTCTCGGGTTTGCTTCCAGTCAAGGGCACCTACGGGTTGATGCAGGAGGCAAACTCAATAAAATAAAAAAATATCCTTGGGTGAGGATTAACAAGAAAACAACCCCCCCCCAAAAAAAAAAAAAACACCCAAAAAACAAAACAAAACAAAAACCCAAGAGGCTCAGTTAAAGTTGAATTACAGATAAATGATGACTAATTTCCAGTATGAGTATGTTCCATGAAGTAATTGGGCATCCTGCATTTTATCCGGCAACCCATCTCTAGCCACTTCCAGGCCTAGATTTGTGATTCATTCCAAGGAAATTTATCTCACATTCTAGAGACCAACATTCATGATCCACAAAAGTAGTCACCCAAAGGGAATCAGCAGATCTCGGTGCCAGAATTGCAAAACCGGGGTCGCTCCTGCCAGTGAGTGGTTCCTGTGACTCCCGCAGGCAGTGCTACACCTTAATCACGCTTCACTCTGCCGAGAGCACATTAGTTTACTTTTCTCTTTGCATTGGAAACCTGCTGGCGGGGAGCTGGGGGAGCTGGCAGCCCCTCACTGCCGTGGGCTGGTAGTTGATGGCTTCTATCTTCAAGGCTGCTGTAAAAACAGTAACAGACAACTTGGCCAACTGTGTCCTCTCCCCTGGAGATGTTCACGGTTTTCGAGAGGGCTGTGTGGTGTGCAAAGAAGCAGATATCCATCTATCTCTGCACGCTCAGAGGAGGGGCGGACCCGGCGGGAGGAAGTGACTTTTTATCTGTCTGTCACCAGAGAGGATCCTGTCACGGCCATTTGTCTGTAGGGAGATTTTTACGCTGGGTGCAGGAAAGGACCTGTTCTACTTCAGGCTGTTGTGCAAATAATTAACAACCTGATGTTTTGAAGGGAACATAAACAGAGCCTGACTGGATATGAAAGGGAGTTTTTCACACTCCTGCAAATGTGTGAAAGAGGAAGAACGTTTATGCCTCAGCAGTTCTCTGGACCTGACTGAGCGCCTACCATCTTGCCGCGCTGAGGGCCCCCTCCTGTTAAACCTTTATTTTCTAAGTACGGAGCTGTGTATCTTTGTAACCAGTTCAATTGATGAAAGGTGTTGCCTGTAGGATGATATCGCCCTGTGGCCAGATCTGCCTGCGCTTGGGCGGGTGGCCTCCCAGAGCTGTGGCTTATTAGCACCAGACTCCCCGTAGCTCCCCTCACCCGTATGATGGGGACCGCAATGATGTTGCTCCCTTAGGAGGGTCAAGTGGGATCATTTCCATCATGAACCCACCACAGGGGTTGGCCATAAAAATAGAGTCCTGGTGCATGAAAATTCATGCACTGGAGCGGGGGGGAGGGGGCAGCCCTCAGTCTAGCCTGCCCCCTCTCACAGTTCAGGTGCCCTCAGGGTCAGGAGGCAACCTGGTAATCAGGGGAAGGCGATGCCCCATCACACCTCTGCTGCTGCCACTGCCAGCAGCGCAAGCCTCAACCAGCCTTGGTTACCTGAGCCTCGGGAGGAACAGGGTGGCTGGGCAACCACCATCCAAGGCTTGCCTGTGCCTCAGGCTGGTCCTGAGCGGCTGGGGGGCTGAGAGGACTGGAGGACTCCAGAGGCAGCCCCCCCCCCCCCCCCCCGGGCAGGACTGAAGAGACTAGGCACCACCATCTTGTGGCTGTGGGCACCTCCATCTTTGCAATGGCATGAGGGTCAATTAGCATATTCCCTCTTTATTAGATCGGATATATATATATATATATATATATATATATATGTGTGTGT